CTCAAACTTAGTCTTTCTTGTGCCACAGACACACATTGTATTCAGGGAGTGCATAGAGTGAGAAGGCCCCTCTGTGGCCACACAAAGAAATTCCTGTTTCCAAATGTAATTTGTTCTCCCTTCTGCTGACTCTGGTCTCTCCAGCCATGCAGTAAGCAGAAGTGGCCCAGCATGTTCATTCCTCACCTACCGCAGTTTCCTGTCCACCTGAAAGTGACAACAGCTAACAAAAGATGGGAATTACCTTGGAGTTTCATTTACAAATTTCCTGTATATTGGTCTGTAATTAATCAGCCATTTCAGTGAATATACTCAAATTTTAAGTTCTGTTGGAAGCTGGATGCCTTGCTTCATGCCTTGGACCACCGGCCTACTGATGTAAGATCTCAGCACGCAGTGCAACTTCTGCCCGAGACTCACAATGTTGTGTAACAGTGTCAGCCCCTACCTTAAAATTTCAATCTCAGTAGAGGAAAATGGAGCAGATTGATCTTAAAACATTCTAATGGGTGAAGAATGTGTCAGAGAAACAAGAGATGCCTCCTTGTTTCCCTAGGCAAAGCAAACAGGCACTCAAGCCAAACGGAAATTCTTCTTGTCTTTTGCTATCATTATTTCACTTTTTTTTCCAAATGCTTTTCAAACACAGTTGTATTTGATGGTGCCTCACTGACCTGAGGATACTGAGACAGGAACACAGGATACACAGAAACAGGAAGCTACAGTTTTCAGCTTCCTTAGCTGCTTATTCTTTAAATATGTATTGAATGCTGTGCTGTAATCATCAATTAGTACAATAGAGGTACTGCTGTGGATACTGCAACACCTCTGAGGAATCCAAGAAACAGAGACAGCACTGGAAGCTCAGACTGTCTGCATTTCCCTACCACTGACCCTGACAGATGAGGAGTGCATACAAAGGCAGGGTAAGCACCCACAAAATGTAGTCACTTTTGGTTGATGCTATTCAGGACCCTGCAGAGGCTGCCAAAGCTAAGCACAGTATTATATGCTGCAACTTGGAAAAGCTCCTGGATATGCTACAGGGGGAAGAGTTACAATGGGAGGAGATGCAGGGAAGGATGGTGCTTTGGCAACAGAAGACAGCAAGGGTATTACTAGCAATATTTTCTGAGTCTGTGTATTGCTTTTCTGCTATTCAAATGAGATGCTGCTACCCATCTGAAAGGTTTTCCCCTGTATTGGTACTGCATGGGTTTGCCATAAATGCAGGATTTCAGAGTAAAATTCTCAAAAGATTTTCAGGAATCTTGCTTTAAAATAAATAAGTAAATAAAATAACAATACCTGACCTGCTTTCTATTGCTCCAACAAGAATGTTGTGGGCACCTTACAATAAGTGCATGTTCAGAAAAGCTCTTCAGTCCTAAACCAGCCTTTCAAATTAAACACAACAAATACCATCTAGCTAGACATACAGAACCTGCTTCCACTTTTCCATTTGCCTGATAAATGAGCATGACTATTACTCAACTAAGCCCAGCACAAACTAGAGACGAACTCATAACCAGCTGGTGTCTCTTTAATAGTGTCTCTTCAATGAGAATTAGTGGGCTGGTCAGCTGAGCAGAGTTTTTATGTACATGTTTAGAGTCAGACTGACATGTCCTATTAAATATCAGTATTAGTGAGCACAAGACCTCACTGATTTCCATGTGTGTTTTCTCCAAAAACCAGGGTTGTTTGTTTTTTTTTTTAAACTATAACACACTGTCTCAACTCTTTCAGGTTTTTCTTTTATACTTCAAAACTGTGGTGAAAAATGAAAGGCCCGGCAGATCCCTCAAGTCTGCTCTTCAATTGCTCAAATCAGTCAAACTTCCCTTTGGAAACTTCAGAGCAATGTGGCAAAGAGACACACCTTGAGAACGTACTTTTTGCCACCTTCTACTTCCTAGACTTCATCCTGGCTTTTATTGGCAACTCCCTGGCTCTTTGGCTCTTCATTCGGGACCAGAAGTCCGGCACACCCGCCAACATTTTCCTGATGCACCTTGCTGTGGCTGACCTCTCATTCGTGCTGGTCCTCCCCACCCGGCTGGTGTACCATTTTTCAGGTAACCACTGGCCGTTTGGCGAGATCCCATGCAGACTCACGGGTTTCCTTTTTTACCTCAACATGTACGCCAGTATCTACTTCCTCATGTGCATCAGCGTCGACCGGTTCCTGGCCATCGTGCACCCCGTGAAGTCCATCAAGCTCCGCAGGCCCCTTTATGCCCATCTGGCGTGTGCCTTCCTGTGGCTGATAGTTGGGGTTGCGATGGCACCCCTGCTGCTCAGCGTGCAGACCGTGGAAGTGAACAACACAACCATCTGCCTGCAGCTCTACAGAGAAAAGGCATCACGTCACGCTCTTGTGTCCTTAGCGGTTGCGTTCACCTTCCCGTTTGTCACTACGGTGACTTGCTACTTACTAATCATCAGAAGCCTGAAGAGTGGGAACAGAGTAGAGAAACACCTGAAGGAAAAAGCTATCAAAATGATCATCATGGTCCTGATGATCTTCCTGGTTTGTTTTGTACCTTATCACGTCAATCGCTACATTTATATCCTCCATTACAACGGCACCAAGGCTTCCTGCGAGACGCAGCGCCTGCTAGCACTCAATAACCGCATCACTTCCTGCCTCACCAGCCTGAACGGGGCCTTCGACCCGGTCATGTATTTTTTTGTAGCTGAGAAATTCCGTGATGCTTTGTGCAACCTGTTCTGTGGTAAGAGGACGGTGATGATACCACAGTGCGAGGGGAAGACCAACGAAAGCTCGCTGAGTGCGAAATCTGAGCTGTGAACGTGACTCCTGCCTCCGCTTCAACGTGAAAAGGCTGCGCCGCCAAAATCAGAGGAGAGCAGATATGCAGAAAGACCACGTGCATGACCACAGCCGGGCTCACTCCTGCAGAGGGAAGTTCTGTCATTTCCCTGGAACTGAAATGAACAGGAACCCCTCTGATTACGTGCTCTTGTCTTACTGAAACCGCAAGCACTGACTGCCAAGATGTGAAACTGAGGGCTGAGCACTTAGGAACAACTGAGGGAACGTGGGCTGTTAAACAGACAGCTTCTTTTTGCAAAATAATTTAATTCCCAAAGCACTCAGTAATGGCTTTTCCTAGGCACAATGCATAAGCATACTTTAAAATGTCGTACTGCACCAACACTAGAGATCCATTCCTCACACAGCCTGTATGTTCTGTTCAAGTTGCATGCTCAGTGTTTACACACCGTAGGCAGAAAACTGGCACTAAGCCATAGCAAAATACATAAATAAATAAAAAAGCAAAATGCTGCAACACGTCCAAGCAGGAATGCAATTAAGAGAGTACTGACCATTTTTTAACTGCTTCCAAGGGCTAAGAGCAGGAGATGAGCTCAAAGCTTCAGACAGAGGCCAGACAGTGTTTACTGTACTGCCTCTGTTACGTAGCTCCGTGCCAAACATCAGACATCCTGATAGTGCTTCAACTAAAGAAGGTCTGCTTAGGAATACAGCATTCATCTTTACTACATACTGAATCAAAAAAACGATGAACCTCTGTCTTAAAAATTGGTAAAGGTGGACAAAAGCAAGCAGAAAAAGAAATCATAGCATCATTTAGGATGGAAAAGACTTTCAAGATCAAGTCCAACCACTCACCTGACCTACCAAGTGCCATCAGTCCAACCAAGTCCTCTAGTGCCACATCCACACATCTCTTAATCACCTCCAGGGTATTTATTTTATTGATGTTCCCTTTGCCCAGAAGAGAATCTCATCTTTAAGGTGTTTTACAACTCTTTCATTTTGGCAGTTTACCTAGCCAGACTATTTATTTGCTACAGATAAAGCAGGGATTACCTTAACTATCCTTACTGATACAAATCATATCCAGTGGAATACATCTGAGAATGAGAGGCAGACCTAGCAAGATCAGGTTCAGTGAGAAAATGGAAAATGAACACAACAGTTTCCAACAGCATTTGCTAGCAGAAAGCTCCTGTGCAGAAGAGGTAAATGTTATAGGAAACCACACGACAGGTGAAATAAACGTGGAACGTCCAGACACACAGGCACACACATTCCTTTCTTATACTTTCCATTTAAAATTCTTTTTCATGCTTGAATTGTTTCAATCCTAGCTGCTTTCCTGAAAAGACCCAGGAATTCTCCTAGGTGCTGTGACGACAGCACAGATTCTAACAAGCTAAGGTGACACAAGTCAAATTTATTACACCCAGCTCAAAAAAACAAGACACAGAAATTGTGTGCAGGACTGAACAGAAAAGGGAGTGGAAGAATCTCCCTGCTGGACAGGGTACAAACATGTAACCTTTCCTTCCTCACCCTTCAGGTAGTGAAAATGTAAACCCCAGGAAACTACTAAGCTTTGCTCAAGATATGAAAGCCTGAAATTAACTATGAACTGTACAACACTATGTACTAACAGTCAGATGGGTTTATTTTCTTATGATATCCTTTTGTACAAGTTTCAGGTTTTTAGTTTCTTACTTCTTAATTAAATGCATTAATCTACCTTAGGACTTGATTTTATATTTCTTTATATAAATTGAATGGTTTTTGAAGACTTGGGAAATCTTATGCTGCACATGTTTTGGTGTAATCCTCACCTTGTTCTCTTGGCCTTTTGCTACGTTTTGAATTGCTTCAGAATTGTTTGTCAGAAATTACCTGATAAACAGCCTACCCAGCATCACACAATCCCTCTTCTCACCTGCTATCTGGCCTCTTGCCTATAATCCCTTTCTTTTCAGTACCCTTCCACTAGCTACTAACATTTGAGTTTCTGCTTCCTACACATTCCATTGAACAAAGAACACTGTTCTTCATTTAATTCCCCATCCCACATCCCTTAAAGCTTTCTCTGTACCTCTACAAGCTTCACCTCCCAATAAATGACCAATGGAGCACTCTCAGCATCTCACTACCACATCAACAACATACTGACAAAATTTCCAGAGCTCCTGCTCCATCTTACCTGCCAGCATTCTTCACAAAACCCAGGTCAGCAAGTGCCACATCACAGAGCTCACAACGGAAACATTCTGGGTGCCAGTTATTGTTCATTGCTTTGATAACACGCCCAATGATGAACTCACCTACAAAAGGAAAGCAATACCTTGAGATCCATGCAGAAAACAGTTTTATTAAGCATCTACAGCCCTTGATAATTCTGCCCTTTAGCCTTTAGCCTCACAAGAACAACTACTTTATAACTTTGGTGGAAAAAAAACAAACCCTCTTCCCATCACCAGGATGCCCCAAATCACCGCTGATTACATCCTTTGTTTCTCTCCAGTTTTCCTGCTCCTTCAAATGACCCCAGATTCAGCCCAGGGCTGGACAGCACTCAGTGGTGGGAGTAACAGCCTGGTCTAGTGTTAGATATGGAGGTTGGTGGCCCTGTCTGAAGCGGGGCGTAGGAGCCTGATGATCCTTGAGGTCCCTTCCAACCCAAGCCATTCTATAATTCTATGAACCTGTGGTGTCTCAATGGATGTAAATGCTACAGGGCCAACACTGCCAAAAGAAGGGCCACTTGCCCCTAACAGTGTGTACAGATGTGTATTTGTACATCTTACCACATTCCCCACAGCAAGGAGCAAAGAGCATCTGAAAGTCATGCTCACAGTACTTCCGACCTTCAAACTGAAAAGAGAGAATGAGCCATCATGAATAACTGAATGGTGATCAGTTCTTACAGTTTAGCATTTTCCACTTGAAAAAATGAACTGGTGAAGACCAGATAAGGTTTTCAGTTCTAGTCTCAATTCTGACCTGTTTTTAAGCTCCCAGAGATTTTCTCAAAGCAACATCCAAATATGGCTTCAGGCTCATAGTGAATTTGCTTTGCAAAAAATTAAATCAATAGCAAAGCTCCTACTAGACAACAAAAATCTTGGGGTGCCCAGAGTTTCTTTCCCTATAATTTATTTTTTTTAAACTTGTGTATTTAGAATTATTCCTCCTACAAAGGACTAAAAAACTAAGAATGCAGCATGTTTAAAATAATGTACTATTCAAAAGCAATGCTTGCATACAACCTGTGAAAAGATTTAAACTTGCTTTGTATGGGTTTGCCAACTTCAGTTGAGAAAGTCTGGTACAAAATACCTAAAAATAAAGGCAAATTATCACTTAAGCCTAATGAAATATTAAGATACATTTGTGCTTTCTTTTTTGAAATGCCTCTCACCCAGAAAGCAAACACAGTTTTGTTGATGAACAGAAGTAGGTAAGAGGAAGAAAAAAAGGAAAAAAGAAACCAAGCTGCAAGTCCCTCCTAAGGCCTAGAAATTAAACATGCAAGAAAGATGGAAGTTTGTATTTCTGTCATAATTTTCACCTCATTCTTTGCCTTTTAGCAAAGACGTTTCTTTTCTCTCATACACAGCATGCAACCTCACCTCATAAAAAAGTCCATCCGGGAACTGGCGAAAACACTGAGCACAGACGAAGCAGTTCTCGTGGTACAGCTCCCCATTGCTGTTCACAATCCTCTCCGCGGGATCAAAGCGGGTCTGGCAGCGCTCACACACTGCATTCGCGAGAGCATCAGACATATTACTGCAATAAAGACAGGAGGGAGGACATCAGCACTGCCATAAGCAAATCAGGAATACACTCGCACCATCCAAGCTCCTCCAACATCTATGAACACAAAATTTCCAGTGCTTTAAACTCCCTTTTACACACACACACAAACCACCAATGACTGAGGCAATTCAGCACTGACGTCAGTTGGAAATAATGCTCCTGCAACTCAGCTGGGTAGGCAGCAGCACTGCAGCAGAGCTAACTCCTGTAGCAGACCTCTCTGTCACGCACTTTTGGCTGCTTCGCCAGTCTTCCACCCCATTATGTCATCCTGCTCAAGCCCATATCAAATCCCCACCATTCAAAATAAAGTTCTGAGAGCAGCAAACCTGATTAATCCCTACTTCTCAGGATTTCTGGTCTCAGGATGTGCACTCCCAGGATTTCCCAACGTATAAGCACCGATCTTCCACCACAGCCTCCCCCTGACCATGGCAGTCAATGGGCTTCCCCCCATCTACCTGGTAGCTGATGTGCACAAGACACCTTGGGATATAATTACATACAAAGCCTGTGCCTTCCTGACAAATTAGTTGAAACTGTTGAAGAATTGAAAAGGTACAAAATGAAAGGAGCCATCCTGCCTGGCCTGGCTTCACTTCCTCAGAAAGCGAGGCTGAAATAAACCCACAAAGTCACATTCACAGATCACTCAAAGGGCTATTTCCCCTTTTTCTCCTAGAATGGGAATTAACCTAACTGCTTCCACAACATTTCCACACTTGCCATCATGGTAATCTAAGTTCTCCATATGGCAATAGAATGCAGTTTTAAAATCCTGTATGTCATGTCCAAACAGGGAGGGAAAAACTACGATGTGGAAAGAGTCTCAGCTTCTTGCTGTGATGCATCCACTCAATTGACCATAGAATCATAGGATGCTTTGGGTTGGAAGGACCTTTCAGATCTCCTGGTTCCAACCCCTGCTGTAGGCAAGGACACCTCCCATAGCCCAGGTTGCTCACAGCCCCATCCAGCCTGGCCTGGAGTGCTCCCAGGGAGGGGGCATCCACAGCCTCACTGGGCAACCTGTTCCAGTGTCTCACCACCCTCACAGGAAAGAACTTCTTCCCAATATCTAGTCTAAATCTACCCTCTTCCAGTTTAAGCCATTTCCCCTCATCCTGTCACCACCTGCCCTTATTAAAAGCCCCTCCCCAGCTCCCCCATTCAGGTCCTGAAGGGCCGCTATCAGGTCCACCTGCAGCTTTCTCCTCTCCAGGCTGAAGAGCCCCAGCTCTCTCAGCCTGTCCTTACAGGGGAGGTGCTCCAGCCCTCTGATCATCTTCATGGCCCATTTCTGGACCTGCTTCAACAGCTCAGTGTCACACACAGCCCCCAGAGCAGCAAGATGCTGTACCACACAGCAGAAGGACAGCCTCCAGCATGGAACGTTTCTGGCACTCTATGTGCTCACCAGTTCTTCTGCAATGAAGCAAGACACAAAATCCTCCTCTGTTTTAACAATATGTCAGTGACACAAAGACAGGAAAGGCCACGGGAACATGACCAGCTCAACATCCTGGTGCAAACCCAACAGAACACGCTGTGAACGCTCACAAGGCACAACTTCCAGCAGAATGATCACAGAATCCTTAGAATTGGAAGGGATGTCTAAAGGCCATCCAGTTCTACTCCCCCCCCAGGGAGGGGAAACCACAGCTCCACCAGGTGCTCAGAGCCCCGTCCAGCCTGGCAGATCTCCATCAGTGCTGAATGAGGAGTTGCTTTAATGTGGAGATAACCGAAAACCTCACAGGTATTACAGCAAAGAAACCTGAAGGCAGCATTTTGAGGTACAAGAGCACAGGGCATCATCCAAACTCAGAAGACAGAACAAACCTACACTAAGGAATCCTAGAAAGGAGCTTTCCACTCACTGACCTACCAATAGATTCTCATGTACGCAGAGGACATCTCAATGCAATAACATTTATGTAGTCATTCAGAATGTGCACAGACACACATGCACTGCGTAGTTTAAAGTCAAACCCAGAGAAAGCCATCACCACTTGGCTGTGCCATAGACCTCAGGATAGAAATATCAGCAGCCAAGGAGAGGGGCTGCTTCCCACCCCTGCGGCATGGTTGAGCATTTGTGGCTTTAAGCTCTTAATGTTGATTAAAACATCAAGTGATTTTACCAAACCTGCCACAAAACGTTGGAGAAAAAAGAAACGTGATCTGTTATGCATTCAATAAGGCTACGAGCACAGTTTAATCTGCAGAATTTCTCCTTCTCCTCACATTATATTCCCATTCAGCAACCTGGACTACAGGCAGACGTCCCTGCCTGTAGCAGGGGGCTGGAACGAGGTGATCTTAAAGGTCTCTTCCAACCCAAAACATTCTAGCATTCTATGATTCCAGTTCACTCCTGTTGAGATGTTTTTTAGCTGGCTGGCTGTGAGCTTAGTAGCACTGTGGCCTTTCTTCCTGAGTACCCAAATCCTCAATAAAATCCCCACTTCTTCCTTGCAATTTACTGCCGAGCAAAAAGCAAAAAGAAGAACAACACAGAAAAGCAACTTACGGTCACAACGCGGGGACAAACCTTTACAGCTTCTCACCTCTCCTTGGCCTACCAGCCACAACCCTCTGCTCTTTGTAGAAGACAGAGGTTCGCTCAGCTCAGGGCAGCACCACGAAGCAGTGGCTGTGTTTAACAGGTCGCATCCGCGAGGCAGCAACACCACCCCTCTACTATCAGGCATGCAGCACTTTGCCCACAACGTGCACCTGATAAATGGCTTCCAATGCACATGGTCTGCGTTCCTCTTCTTCACTTCCACTATCTCCAAGGAGCCTGTGGTGATGGTTGTTTACCAGCACTGCTAAAACTGACTGCTTCCAACTGTGTTCATCAGCTGCCACCAGCGGTGCTGCTTTGGATTGCCACCATTTGCACAATGAAGGGCAGCCTTCCCCAGAGCTGCTAGTGTGCCCAAACCCACAGTAGTAGGTTTAAATAATTATCACCACCATCATCAAGGCTTGAAAAATACACGTTGGTAACAAAACAAAGAAGAAAAAAATGAAACCTGATTGCGAATCAAGGAAACAAACAACACTGCACCTTCACCTTCTTTTGGAAGGCTCTGACAGCTATAACAAAACAGACAGCTGAACACAAATCACACATTGCTGAGGTGAGAGGACTACGAGCATCGATCTCCTCACCCTTCCCATCATCAGTCTGCGCTGCTTTCCTGCTGAAGAGCTGTGTTTCTTTGCTCCTTCAGTGCTGACTTCTCTGTCACCAGTCCCTCCTGTACTCCTTCACAGCCCCATATCCCCTCAATGGCATTCACACTCCTTCCTCTGTCCTCCCATCACCCTTCCATACACTCATACCCACAACACTATGCCAGAAAAACCTAACATTTAACCACTAACCAATGGCTGTAGGCTAAGCAGAAAGCACGGTGATGAGCAAGGCTCTATGGAGGGATGCAGGGCTCACACTGAGCGGCCAAACCAATTGCACCACACCTGGGTCTGAAACAAGACTGAAATCCACAGCTCCTGGCTGCCACAAGGACAGCTCTGCTGCATGCTCGCTGCTCTCGCCACCACGCAGACCTCAGAGCTGAGATGCAATTCTTAACTGAGCTGATTTCTGCTAATTGCTCTCCTGTCCAAAGTTAACCAATGAAAACTGTAACAATTACAATTTTAATTAGAAACACAGGAAAAGAAACCCTCAAGCCAAGCCCTGTAGCTGCCTGGGCAGACTGGAGCAGCTCTGCCTGCCAGGTGAGCGATCCCATGCAGCAGCCATGCCAGGAGCTTCAGTTTCTGACAGACAAATGCTAAAATCAAGAAGCCTGATACTCACAGTACCAACAGGTTACTGAGCCTCAGTGCTTTGAATGACTGCATTTTACTTTTCCTCTGTCCCCACGGCACCGAAGCACTCCAGCACTAACCAGAGCTGAGCTGCTGCTGGCTCTAAACAATCTAGCTTCCACACGGAAAGGTTCTCCACCGCTTCTTTCCTGCTATTGTTAAAAACCGAAAGCTTCCCCACCAGGAAAGTCCTCTCCTTCGTAATCTGCTTGGAAATAGAACCAGCTTCATCCTGTCTTGCTGTGCACAGACAGTTCCCGCCCCGACACCCCCAGCTGTGCCCCCAGGCCCCACACACCGCACACCTACCCTTGGGCCCTGGCCGCCGTGCCTGCCCTGCCCTGCCGCCGCCAGTACAGCCCTGAGGCTGCCAGGCCCTGCAGGCGCAGGCCAGCCATGGCACCCCATGGCAGAGCAGGGAGGCGGTCAGGGAGCCCTGGCAGGACATCCAGTGAGTCACCTTCCTGAGGGGAGTTCCCTTGGCGTTCCAGGAGAGCTCCAGCAGGATGCAGGCAGTTCTGCTCCAGCGCTGTTCCTCATGCTTTGCCTGCCATTCTGCTGCAGCCCCGAAGGCTGGAGAATCTCTCTCCTGCATCCCACTGCTAATTAATCACCTGCTGAAGGCAGCACACTTGGAGGTCATAGCAGCAATTAGTGCTCAGCCAGACTTGATGATGGAGCCGTGTTAAGTCTCAAGCCTTCATGTTATCAATGCGTGCCACTGAAGGAGACTCTCAGATCAAAGCAACAGAACACTGCTGACCCAGCCTCACACAGCATCTCACCCAGCTCTCAGGTGGACAGGTTGCCCCATGGCTGCTGCACCCCACAGCACTGCTTTCCGCATGGGTGAGGCACACACCGGGGCACCGAGCACAGCACTGCCTGCAGAGCAGCAGCTGAGGAGGGCTTGGGGCAGGCAGCACTGCACAACCCTGCTGGGGAGCTGAGCAGGGCCCATGCAACACTGAAAAGAATTGAAGTACTGAGAATAGAGAAGGCAGTGTTTAAAAGAACAAAAGGAGTGGAGGGCGATGGATGCGGCTGTGTTGTCTGATCAGCACCACCATGAAAACCGCTTTGTGTTTTATTATCATTTTCTTATTATTCTTTTGTAAATAATTTTAAAAGGAGTTTTGTAGCATCATAGTGAAATATGTTCCATTGGTAAGCTGTAGGAGGAAATAAGCAAGAGAAGTGACGATTTCACAAGTATTAGGTGAGTGTTAACCAGCAGAGATCCTCCATGTCCACCAAGCAAAAGCAAGAGGGCTGCCTCGGACCCAGAACAGGCAGAGAGTGGGACGTCATCATCCCACAACCAGAACTGAGTAACCCACAACCTCCAATTCAACCTGCACTTTGTTGTCCTTCAGGCCCCTGAGCTCCAAAGCAATCTGCAGTTCTTCAGACTGCATTTCATAGAATCACAGAACGGCCTGGGTTGCAAAGGAGCACAGTGCTCATCCAGTCCCAACCCCCTGCTGTGTGCAGGTCACCAACCAGCAGACCAGGCTGCCCAGAGCCACATCCAGCCTGGCCTTGAATGCCTGCAGGGATGGGGCATCCACAGCCTCCTTGGGCAACCTGTGCCAGTGCCTCACCACCCTCTGGCTGAAAAACTTCCTCCTAATATCCAACCTAAACCTCCCCTGTCTCAGTTTAACACCATTCCCTCTTGTCCTATCACCATCCACCCTCACAAACAGCCATTCCAACCCGTTTATACACTCCCTTCAAGTAGTGGAAGGCCACAATGAGGTCTCCCCACAGCCTTCTCTTCTCCAAGCATTTGTACTTAACTCACCTCTGCTTTACAGAGCAGAGAAATAAAGGGAATAAAGAATGAAAATGAAGATGAAACAGAAGAACGAAAACATCCTTCAAGTTGTGTGGCTTTGCAGACCTTTTAAATTTTAGAGTGATAAGCACCTTTAATGCACTATGACATCACTTCTTTTAATATAAAGCAAACCATCGAAGCATCGAAGCATCAAAGCACCGCAGCACCTCCCATCAGCAGCCTCTCCTCCCTCCAGCACCTCAGCTTTTACCCTCCCGGCCGCTTCACCGCTTTAAGTATCCATACTGATTTCTAAAGGCAATCTAATGCAGGTCGGGCACTTTTTATCTTTACGTTTTGTTCTTGTCCACGCTGAGGAGCCGCCCTCCCGGCCCTTCCCACACGGGGTGCGGCCCCGCAGGACCTCCCGCCTTACCTGCCCGTCATGGCGGCGCGCCGAGGGGCTGCGGGAAGGGACGGGACGGGACGGGCGGTTCCGCGCGGCGCTCCGGCAGCACCAGGCACGGCACGGCACAGCGCGGGGCCCCCGGGCGTGGGCGGGAGCCGCAGCCCCCAGTGACTCAGGGCAGCCCCCCCCGTGCCCCGCGCATACTTTTCCTATAAAGGGAAAGAAGCGGCGAGGAACGCGGCGGCGGAGCCCGGCCCGCCCCTTGCCCTGACCCCTGCCCCGCGGAGCTTCGCGCCGGAGCTGAAGGCGGAGCTTCGGGCCGGCGTCGCCTTCCTCAGCCCGGCGGGGAGAGCGAGGGCTGCTCCGAAAGTAATGCCTCCTACGTTACGGCGTCAGCCCGCCGTCGGGATGTCGGCGGTGGGACCGCAGCAGGGGCTGAGCCCGCCCGTATCCCGCTACGCGCTGCGGCCGGGGGACAGACGGGGCGGTCTGATGTGGAATGCGGATGGAACGAAGGGCCGGGACTGAATTCCTCCGCGTGGGAACAGTGGCACACAGCGACATTCGACGACGCTCGCTCAACGCCGACGGACACCGAACGGCGCGGGATCTCAGGGCGGACCCGCGGCGCTTCCCACGCAGCGCCGCCCCGCCCCCTCTGGGTCGCACTGCGCAGGCGCGTTGCCCCGGCCGCGCCCGCTGACCCGGAAGCAGCCGGCGGCAAGATGGCGGCGTAGCGCCCGCGTGCCGTTTGGGCCCCGCCATGGCGGACCTGGGCCGGCAGCTGCACGAGTACCTCGCCCAGTCCAAGGCCGCCCCCGCCCCGCCGCCCGCCGGCGGCCCGCAAGACGAGCCGGAGGGGGACGGCGCAGGAGTGTGGCCGAGCGCCTTCCCTGGCTGGCGCTGGCCGTGGGCGGCCGAGGCGGACCCGTGGCTGCCGGGGCTGTCGCCGTGGCAGCGGCTGGCGGGCGCCGCGCTGTGCCTTCTGCTGGCTGCCCTCTGCTTCGGGCTGGCCGCGCTGTACGCGCCGCTGCTTCTGCTCCGCGCCCGCAAGTTCGCGCTGCTCTGGTCGCTGGGCTCGCTGTGCGCGCTGCTCGCCGCCGCGCTGCTGCGCGGTCCGTCCCGCCTGCTGCGGGAGCCGAGCCGTGGCTCGCTGCTGTACGCGGCGGCGCTGGGCGGCACGCTGTACGCCGCGCTGGGGCTGCGCAGCACCGCGCTGACCGCGCTGGGCGCCGCCGCGCAGCTGGGCGCCGCCGCCTCCGCGTTGCTGGGCGCGCTGCCCGGAGGGGCCGCCGGCGCCCGGCGTGTCGGAGGGCTCCTGGTGACCGCGCTGCGCCGCGGGGCCGCGCTGCCCGTGTGATGTACGGGAGGAGCGTCCCGTCGGGCTTCCTCGCGAGAAGGCGGCGCGGAACGGCGGCGATTCCGAACTCGAGCGCGGGACCGCGCCCGGCCCCGCCGCGTCTGGAGCCGAGGAAGAGCGACTGCCGGCGGAGGGCCGTTGGGCCGCCCGGCGCCGGAGCGGAGACGGCGGCGGTGCGGGGCGAAGAGCGCCGAGCGGCCTGGCTCCTCGTGCCCGGTGCCGCCTCGGTGCCGGGAGCCTTAGCGAGCGCCGTGCGCTCTTCCTGCACAGAAACTGCTTGTAATTGGCATCCAGTAAGTGAAACAGGCTCCGGGGCTGTGGGTCGGCAGGCCTGTGCTCGGGTAGGGCAGGACCGTGCGATGTGCTGTCCTGCTTCCAGGAGCCGCGGAACGGCACGGCGTGCCCCTCGGCAAGCTCTGCTGGGGAGCGGGCTGCTCGGCTCTGCCTTGGGGCTGACCGCCCTCCAGCGCCTCGGACGGAGCCGGCCCAGCTCTCAGACTTGCCTCAAATCACTGCTTAGGGATACAGCGGGAATTGTCAAACGGGGGTGCTTACATGTACGTAGACAGCTTTAATAATAAAATGACTATTTGTGTACCAAACGTCAGTGTAGATCTTCAACCACCGGTCACTTCTTTCTTTGAGCTGTAGACTGAGATAACGTTAAGTAGGTCTGTCCTTTTGATAACTGCTAAGCTACGGTGTGTAATTTGTAGCAGTGGAATTGGAAGAGATGGCAGGGAGAGGCTGTGAGCAGGCACAGCACAGCCAGGCTGCGTGCGGTGGTCAGAGCTGTGCCTGCACCCTGCTTTCAGCAGTAGGGCTGTGGTTGCACCCATTGGGTTCCCTCTGTGTCTCCTGCTGTCTGTGGCTGTGGGATTCTGTCTGAAAGTTAGCTCATTGCCCTGTTTCTGTATGACTTTCATGTTCCACAGCAGTGGAATGTTTCAAAGCTTAGTTTGAAAAGCTGCCATTGTGAATGTTAGCAAGTACAATAGTGGGGCTAACCAAGCAGCAGGGGAAAAAGAAGCATTTTCCCTCGTGTCCAGGTGCAGACTGCTGGGTTCCCTGCTGTTAGGTGCGCTCCAGTTTGCTTTGGTAGAGGACTGTTGGGTATTAAGGGCCAAGACCTCTAAATCAGATACTTGAAATACTAAAAAGAAGTCGCTTTCAGTCCCATTAAAAAAAAATAAAATACCCAGGGCTTGTATTATTAAAAAAAAAAAAAAGCCAACTCTGTATTTTCCCTTCAGTAGTGATTAAATCTTCAGTGTTAAAATTTAAAGAGATCCCTGAGGTGCACCCAGCACGGCCCTTCTGCAAGTAGAGCAAAAGGGATCCCTTTGTGCTCCCCGAAGGTGAACCTGCTCCCTACAAGGTGCCCTCAGCTCCTTCCCAGCCACCACTTTTCAGATCATGCTAAAGCCAGAAGACAAGGATGCTGTAGGCTAATGAGCTCCCTTAATTGCTATGATTTTTAATGCAATTTTGTAGGCTACAAATTAAAAACTGTAAAATGTTACTTGTGACAAAGAGAGCAGCTGCTAAGCACCTCTGCTCTGATCCCTTTTAAATAAGATGGATGAGGATAGAGTAGGTCAGTCTTTAAAAGAGATGTAACCGTATCAGAAGTCAGATAAAGTAGCTGCTGTGCATTGCTGTGCTGTGCAGTAGTTTTGCCAGCTGTAGAATTACACTGCCATACACTGTGACTATTCTAACAGCTTGAAGCTAAAAGAAGGGGGATTTAGAGTAGATGTTAGGAGGGCAGTGAGGCACTGCTGCCCTCAGCAGTGTGGGTGCCCCATGCACGGAGGTGCCCAAGGCCATCAGTGGGGCCCTGGGCAGCCGGAGCTGGTGGAGGCAGCCAGCCCAGCACAGGGGTAGGACTGGGTGGGCTTTAAGGTCCCTTCCAACTCAAACCACTTCATGATTCTACAAATTTCCAGTGGGTAGAAAAACAGCCCGGCGGTGATAGTTTTCATGATAGTTTGTTGTATAGTTTTAATTGAGGACCTTCCTGAGAGCTGGCTTTTGAGTACGTATAAACTTCTGTATAAACTTTTCATTCAGGCTTAAGCCATTAATGAGCCCTGTGGTAGCCTGGTGACTGGAGATGATTGATGTGAATGATTTTTTATGGGGACATTGGATACTTGTGATTGCTAAGCAACAAAAATGTGGGAAATATAAATAACCTCTGCTCATCCCTCTCCTGTGGGAAAACCAAAGAAAAGTACCCTAAAGATGTTTAGAAACATTAAGATGACAGCCAGAAACCACTGAGTTCTGCACTTCAGCAGACCAAATGCTGCTGGACACCCATATCTGCATGCAGGGTATCCTACAGCCACTGTAAAACGTTTGCTTCCATATGAATCAAATTGCTAAACTTCCCTTTCCTCTTCAATTTCTTTAAGTGCTGTTGTGAGCAGAAGTATCTGACTCCTGCAGCTGAAGCACAGAATGACAGTGCTCGTTATCCTGTCTAGTTTGCTAGCAGTCCAGGTTATAGATGCACTATGTGTATGACAGCTTTTTCTAAATGGTGTTCCCTGTTTTTCTCTTTCAGGATGGCAGACCAGCAATCAGCAGTGACTTCCTGTGCTCTGGAGTTTTAATGTCAGCACCTCTGGTTATTTATAGACAGCTGAGACTGCAGGCAAAAGAGTTCTCTATAGATGATAAACCAAAAATGAGGCATAAGCTGTTAGTACTGCCCACAGATGAGACTTCAGGAGGTAGTTTGTTGCTCCATCTGATACACAAGTTTGTTAAGAAACAGCACTTTATAGGAATAGGTGAGTAAAGAACTACACACGCTTTTTTTTGGTTAGTTTTTGCGCAAATTACATTCTGTATTCATACAAAAAACAACATAACTCTTCTGACAAACTGTACATATAGAAACAAGTTTCTGTTTGGAATTGAACTGAAATCTGTGGAGGTGCTCCATGTCTCAACACTAAAAAAAATTCCAGCTCTTCACAAAACAAAGTAGGTAAAGGAAGGTGGGGAAAATGGGGGCAGAGAAGACAAAACTGAAAGCTAGCTACAGTACCGCAGCTAGTAGCAGTTGACTGATCTAGGAGAAGACCCTTGTTAGGAACTAATGCACATTCAGTTATCCCAGTTAAGAATCCAGACTCGCGTTCTTGCAGGGTTACTTTCTCTTTGAGTACAGAGTAGCAGTCCATTTAAATATTGTCCATCAGGGACTGGGTGTGACCCAGTCAAAGCCTCTTCTATCGGCCTCTTCCGCCACCCCTGGATGCTCCTCTTCGTGACTGACCAGAATTCATGTTATTTCCTCTTCCCCAATTGCTTCCACTCCTTCCTCCTCTGGAAGGGTTGCTGCCTCCTGCAGGGCCTCCGCCGAAAGCTTCATCCCTGTGGAATCCATCGTGATGGTCTCCATCTAAAGAATTAGACCGTGCCGATTTTGGTGCTCTCTGGGAAGCTCCTGAATTTCCACGTCCTAAAAAGGAAGCACAACGTTACTGATGTTGAAATCTAAGCCGTGCTTCTTCTCAGACATACCACGCCTTTCAGCTAGTTCTCTCACATTCTCCAACTGAATGTTCTTGAGACCTATGATTTTATGCCTCCTCCCTGTTTTTTATTACACAGGTTCCATATCTCCATGGCAGCCCAGAAGATTGACAGTAATCAGGCAATCCCTTGGGGATTAAAGGAGATTATGTCTCATACAGTCAGCGAGGACTTACTTAAGTCAGGTCCCTCAAAAGTGCCAGCCATACACGATCTGATCCTTTACAGCTATCTGCAGTTCTTGGTATACTTTTATTGCAGAACACAACAAAACCAAGAGAACTGGATAAAGGAATGGTTAAACCACATCTGCCATGGCGTGTGCAATTCTTAGTCACCCCATTCACAAAATGATAAGTTAAAACTGAAGCGAGTATAGACGTGGTAAGAAGGGCAGTAAAGGATACAGAACGCATTCCAGAGACAGCACACGAATGGGTGAGAGCTCTGGCATAGAGAAGAGCCAGCTGAAGATGGGAAGTTTATGCAGCCAGAGGTGGCATTCAGAAATACCAACTAAAATACAAGCCATCACTGAATGGAAGTAGTGAATGATGGGCTTAAGAAGACAAAAGCTTTTTATTTTTTCCAGTTAAGCTTGAGAGCTCTGTCTGTGGATGTCACAGGTTCCAGCGATTCTTAAAGCTGGATAAGACTTCTGTTGAAAAACACACCAGGGTGTTGCACGAGGTTTTCAATACAAGGGACTTATCTACCTTTTCCCCTCTCCTCTGGAGGTCCACCTGGAGCATCCATTTCCCTGGGGTCAGAGGTCCCTGGTCCATCGTGCCAGGGACGTTTACGTGGTGGCAGTGAGGCCATGTCCATGCCCTGGAGCGAAGAAGAACGTTCTCGGTTAGCTGGAGAATGTCCATCGTGAGGAGGGTGGTCTGGACGAGGACCTGATGGTGAGGAGAAAAAGTAGGATCATTAGATAACGTCCATCTGATCGTTACACTTCATTTTCAGAAAGCAGTCACATATAAATTTACTTTCCATGCAATTTGGAATACAATTTTAAGTTATATAAAGCTTCCCCACCTCTAGAGCATGCAAATAAGCCAACATTAGATGAACGAGCTGCAAGAAAGCTGAAGGTAAAGCAGGTTTAGAAGATGTTGAAGAAGAAAGAAGTGGCAGATCTCAAGCTTTCTTTTCAGCATAAGGGTTTTTACGTATTTTAGAGATGGCCACACGTTCATCTTTCATTATTCACGTGTCATTTGTGCTCGTGTTCTAAAATTCAGTTTTGAACCTATATGGTTCCTATATAACCTGTAGGACCTATAATTATACACAAAGATGACCATTGGCATCAATAGATACCTCGAAAAGCTGTATGTTACGCTGCATTCATCAGCAGGGGACACCAACGTGCTGCTCTGCACTGCATATAAAATCTCACCTTGAATCAGGATAATAAATGATTTATTCATTTATTATTCTGTGGAAATGCAGCGTTTACAGCTAGCTACATTCCAGGCAGTTCATTTATTTCTATATTTATAAGTCCAGAAACCTACACAGTGCATCTCTGGTGATGAAAGACTGAGCACACGAAGCACAGGGAAAAGTAGCGACGTTAATTCATTTTAAAGCAGTTACATTGCAGACATTGATTATCTGAAGCAGACCTCAGCTATTTCTTTACCTGGTTCTCTGTTTCCATCCCAGGATTCTGGCTTCCGCCCACCTTCAAAGCGTGGAATTTCATCGGGGGTAGGAAGCAGACCCTTCCGGCCTCCTGAGCAGCACGAGATGCAGGGAGAGGAGTGAGAAGAGACAATTGCATTTGTGAAACTGTTGCCGTTTGCCCAAGAAACACCCTTGCTACCTTCTCCTTGTATTTCACTGTGGAAGAATGTTCCCCTCACCTCTAATTGCACCACGACCTCGGCCCCGAGCACCATGGTCCCTTCCTCTCAAGTTTTCATCTGGGGAGTCAAAAGTGTCATCTGGCCCAAAATCTTCCGGACCAGGAAAGCCATCTCTCCCCCTGGGTCCCCGGCCCTCGTGTCTCGAGGGTCCTCCTCTTCTGAAGCTACAAGAAAGAACACGTTACACCTTTAGACAAGGTTTACATTGATAAACTTGAGACAGTTGGTTATTAAGCTGTTTTCTGAACCGTTTCACATAACACTACAGTACATACAGCTATCAGAACAGGATTTGTGGGTGGAAAAGTGCTCAATGTCTGTCTCTGAGCGCTTTGTTTAGCTATTTTGTATAGTTTTTCCTCACTTCTTTCTGTTGTGTTGGTTTTGTTTTTTTTTTTTCCCATACAGAAAATACTGTCAAGTATATTTGCATTCATTTAACAAGGAAAAAAAAATAAAAACAGTGAGATAGATATAAGGCAAGGCAAGGAGAAGGACAAGTGAATTTCTCTTAGTTGCAGTGCTCTTGCTTTAAGGGATTACAAACGAAGCAGGAAAAATAAAAGCAGTGAGAGTCAAGGCTGTAGTGAAACATTTCAGCATCACATTCCTATGGATTCTGGAGTCTCTTGCTAGAACATTCTCTTACTCAGTCCCTCCACAGAGGATTTTTTATTCTTTTTTTCTTTTTAAGTTTACAATGTTGAGAAACGATTCTAGGCTGCACTTGGCTCAGCAGGGATGATGACTGCTGAGCAGTGTGCACAGTGGCTTTCTACAACCTCACCAGCAGCTTATCCATCTGCAGTAAACGAAGAGCTCTGTTCTGCAAAACGTAGCAGTGCCCCTCACGTCAGTTATTTCTACTCCTAGTCAGCACCATGGCATCTTCAGTAACTGGATGCGATTGGCTTTTGCATCTCATCTGAACTGAGTACAGCTCCTCCAGTATCACACTGGGGTCTTAACACAGATCTTCAGAGGGAAGAACGCTTCTGTCTTAGCTGTCAGTGCCATTCCAGGTAAGCCTGTAGATGGCTGCACAAACGCTAGCAGTTCTGTTTCTTACAGCACCAACTTGGAGTGCTTGGCAAAGCCCATAAATGCCCCGTGCATCACTGCAGCTCCGTGAGCACCCACTGCTACAACTGCCTCTGCTTACAGCCCGACCCGGGCAATTTCTGTGCGAGCACCAGGGGACGTTAGGTGGTGCAGGCACACTGCTTTGGGATCCTGCCCCCCCTCAGCGCCAGCAGTGACAGTGCAGCTCTGTCTGCCCATGCACACTGATGCCCCCCCACCTCCCCTCTTCTCCCACTTCCGCACTGGGCAAACTGCGGGCGCCGCAATGCTCCGAGCCTTGGCTTTGTGCACGTCCCCTTCCCCGGCTCATTAACGACACAGTGCACCCTATTACAAGCAAAACTTTAGATACTTTTATTTAGAATTTTAACAACATTAACCTTTTAATTACAAATTTAAATATTTTAACAGTAGTCATAACACAATACAATATTATTTTTTTCTTTTTAACTTTTACATTTTTTTTTTTCTTTTTTTTAAATTAAAAACAAAAGGTCTGTCTCCACCTCCCAGAAAACAAACACAATACAGAGAGGAGGCTGCTGTGCCTGTACAGGTACAACAGTGGATGGAGGGAGTGCTGCATATGGACAATGAACCATTTCACATTAACCTGGGTGATTTGTGAAAACAAACTCAGCAGTTTCAGGTACAAATGGTTCAAATAACCACATTGCAATGTTGTTTAGCCTTGAGACAGCACAGTCCTCTAGATATATTCCTTAGAGGGTCTCCCATTTTAATACTGACTTGGTGAGATTCTGCTTAGCTTGTAAATTACCAAGATTCGCAACACAAGATCCTATGGCTACCGGGAGGAGGACCCTTCTCTGTGTTTCCAGGCAACCTTACGGACAAAGTTCAGCTTTGAAATCTATCACACCTATGCCTGATACAGCCATGGCTCCTAATATTGGGTTATGTATATCCTTTTTCACTTTTTCTCATCAGTCACACGTAAAACCCTGCCTCGCATAGGGCTCAGTTCCTGTTTGACTGCTCTCATCTTCTTCCTTGAGGCCTAGGACCTTAACGTACACAACTACACACTGTGCAGATTAGCAGCAGGAAGAGGCAGGTCTCTGCAGTAGAAGCATCATGTTGATATGCACAGGTAGAGTGAGAACAGGACAGAGATGAAAAGGATGGGAAATTAGAGAGAAACACACATACACACACTTCCCTCTCACGTTTTTGACCAAACCAGTTACAATCTAAATTCCAAACCAAGTCAGCTAAACGAGCAGTCGGGATTCTTAGGCTCACTTCAGCACCAGCATGGCAACCAATTCACCTTCACTCAGAGGAAATCACTAAGTGCAAGCACAGCGAGCCTTTCAGAGCCCTGTGATGATTCTTCTCCAGCTAACCGCTCTGTACAAACACTTGCACTGTGACAGACCCTCGTTAGCTCACAAGTCAGATTCCCAGGTCCTGAGATGCCTGGACTCCCCTCCTAAAACCTCTGTAAAATCAGAATAAGAATAAAATATTCCCCAATCCCTAAACATTCCCAATATAAGATCTGAAAATCTCTACTGAGCTTCTAAAATCATTGTCTGCTACGTCTGTTTCAGAGTTATGGAAGGCAGACTATTCCACTCGGATTCTCTCTTTTAAACGGCTTTGTTACCTTCTTTTTGTTCATTTCCTTTCATACTCTTCACACAAAAGGAAGGTACATCTTTACAGAGCTAGGTAGAAAATAGCTAAAAGAAGAGCTGTACAGATGCAAAGTAAAAGGAATGTAAGAAAATGATTAAAAGGCAACTAAAACACACAAAATTCACATTATGTGGAGACCACAATATATTTGTACAAGTACACATTTTTATACATATGGAGTTGGTGGTCAGTGAGAGGTTTAGACCTTGGAGGCCAAATTTAACTCTGTTAAGCTAGCATAAATCTGGAGCAATTTCAGTGACAGGTCGTCTTGCCAACTTTGAGCAATTCCTCCACGTTTACATTAATAACTAGAAGCAAAGTCATCCCTTTGTGATTGATCTGGAAATTGTGAGCAATGAAGAGGACATTGCTATAAACTAGATTATTTTTGAGTTCTTTGCTTGGCATTAAGAAATAAGCCAGAAAAAGAAATAAAATTCCTACAAGCAAAAACATGAGAAAATAGTCTCGACAGTCCAACAGGCTGCAGAGCTCTGCCCCTTATATTTGATAGTAGGATCACTGTTCCTGCTCCTCACAAGTATCTCACAGCTCGTTCTACAGTCTCCACAGTCATCCTGCAGTTTGTGACTGGAGACAGAGTCTCAAATTCCACTTCTAGTGTTCAAAAGTTTGCCATTTTAACCTTCGAGTTTCCTCTCAATTTTCGTCAAAACGATCTCAAATCTTCATCCTGTGTCACTGGATCTTCTCTACAAATTTCCTCCCTTCTCTTTACTTACTGTTTACAGACACGGAAGCTGCTGTGTACAATGACCATTTTTCAAGTTTTCTTCTATTACTGAATGATTTTATGGACTCTATACTCAGGTATATTAGAGTTTTCATTTCCTTATTGGTTTCCAGTTTATAAATCTGAAACAGATAGACTCCTTAATGACAAGGAAACCAGGAAGAAAGAATTCCCTCCGTTCACCCTTTACCCAAGAAGAACGAATCGATTTATTCTTACCTCTCGTCTCGTCTTCCTCGGAACCGTGCATCCTCAGGATCCCGTGGATATCTATCATCTGAAGGTCTCCGTCCTTCCCAAGCACCAGGAGGGCCACGATTTGAACCCCCGCCTTCAAATTCCCTGTGATCGGGAGGAAAGGGAGGCCCAGGTCCACCTCGTCTCCATTTCTCATCTTGCAATGGTGGGCCTCCTCTCCCCTCAAATTCCCGCAATCGATGGCCAAATCTCTTATCTGGATGGAAGTCGTCCCGGAAGTCATCTGGTCGATCAAAGTCATCATGGAAATCTGGGTGAGGTCCTCGTCTATCTGGCATGCCCCTGCTGTCTCTACCATCACCCCACTCCTGGCCACCTCGAAACAACCCTCTCTCAGGCCCATGATCAGGGCCACCACTGTTCTGGTCGTGCCTTCTATCTGAGAGAGGGCCCATGTGGTGGTTTGGTGGACCACGGGAGTCACCTTGAGGGAAAAAACCATAGCAGATTTCTGTAATTTTTCCTAAAAAATGCTCTAGGACGTTTTAGTTTCTACAGTTCTACAAAGCATACACCATACATTTCACATTAAGGAATTCTGGGGGGAAAAGCTTTTCTTCTGTATTCCAGCCCAAGTCTACTGTAGCTTCCCTCTCAATCCGGACCCTTCGTTGTGCTGTAGCCTTTTCTATCTAGAGGGTCTGCACTGGAACAGCATCTTTTTGGAGAACTACTCACAGAAGAACGGACAGTGCATTTAATTACCTTTATTAAGGCCAGGTCCTTGGTTGTGGGGGCCGAGACGACCTTGTCCTCCCTGCTGCCCCAGTCCTGGTATCAGTGGTGGAGGACCTGGGTTCTGTCCGTCCTGTTAGTGTACAGTAAGAAAAGCCATGTGAATTAGCATGCGTGAGTATTCTTGCTTCTGAGCCTTTTGTAAGGCAGCAAACCAAATTCCTTTATTGGGACAGTGCATCTTCACAGCCCTTATGACAGCAGCAGCTGATTTTCGATTAGTTTCAGCCTGATTTTTTTCACATTCACATCAGTGACGCTTTTGTTTCCTGAGGATCATACACAATTATCTAGAAAACTTATGACTAATCTTTTATCCGTAACGACCAAAAGATAATAAAGCTCCTGTTTTCTATGCCTGTTAGAGAAGGCGAGAGAACTGCATGCATTTGTTGAGAAAGCACCAGGTGCTGATGTGTATGCTGCAGATACAGACCCAGGAAGGATCGCAGCAGGTACCAGGTTACCCCATGCCTCCTCTGACCACGTGGGTTTTTTTCATACTCTGTATCTACTTTCTGTGAAAGACCATCTTTTATTATTAATTATTTTAGAGAGAGGGTTGAGGAGCAACACTGAGAGTTCATTTGAGCAGTTTTTCCTGTTGCATCTCGAAATACTGGTTTTAAATTATACTTTTGTATTGAACTGCAACGGAGGTAATAATCACAAAAAAACACATAAACAGGTACTACAAACAGCACCTTTGCACTGAATGTTTTTGTAAAATTTTTGGGAAAATAAAAGCAGAATAGAAGGCCTGGTTCCAGTGCTTGTTACAAGAGAAAAAAGCACACGAACCTCTTTGAGTGGTTGAATGGTGAGCTGAGTCAGAAGAATAGCTGTCCAGGAAGGACAAAGCTGTCACCATCCCTGAACAAAGCCTTGCTGGAGCTCCACCACTTCTCATGTATTTAATGCAAGATTACTTACAATAAACTGTTGAACTTCTTAAGTTTATGTCACTGCTGTTCAACCAGAGCAGCAGCTTTTAGTGCCCACCTCATGAGGTCAATCACTGTTTGCCAAAGCCCTCTATTTCCAAACAAATACTCCGACAAGTTAGGAAGACAGAGCCGTCATAGTGCATTTTTATATGCCTTTCATTTCAAAATACACCATGGGCCCAAATGGGCTCCTAGCAGACAGAGTGAACTGCAGAGCACAGGAGGAGGCACTGCGCTGAGAACTGCAGGCAGCCCTGTGCATCCCACAGCTGGAGGCAGGCAGAGCTGTGCTGTGGCACCAGGCAGAGCAGCAGGGCTGGCTTTGCTGGCCCACCTTACAACTGCCATCTGTTTTCACTGCAGCTGGAGGGGAAGAATTCGTCATACCAATCCATTCCGTCTGAGCCACTGCAAGCTCCAAGAGTTTGCCTCTACATGGAAAGAGACTTGATCTAAAGCACTCATGCCAAGAAATGAGATGAAATCCAGTCTACCCAAAAGATTAGGTGTTGTAAATCAACAACTCTCAATCACCACTTCAGCCCCAACATACCACTGCTAACTTGGGAATATTTTATCTACCCGTCTGCACTTTAACATCAATATTCCTATCTTCAGAATACAGCTTTGCTGATCACACTGTATTTTGGTCCCTTTCTTTCTCAAACAGGTTTGTGTTTTGTTCCCCATCTGCAGAAGGGAGCAGCTCTCCCACTTGGGAAGAGATGGGCATCTCCTGCACGTAGCTCTTCAGTGAGCAGTGGGTGAAGGTAACAGTGCTATCTCCTACAGACATGATCCTCTAAAATAGGCACACAAGTTCAGTATTGATTTCACAAGCCCTTAATGAAGGAAACGAACACTCCTCTTCTGCTTCTAAAAAGGCAGGCAAGCCATTTCTACAAATGTACAGAAGGAAAACACTAAATTCAGGACTAAAACAGTCAAAGCCTGTTGTTAAAAAAGCCAAGACAGGAGTTACCCTTCTGCTCATCTTACAGAGAAGCCAACAGGACCAAAAATGGAAAGGAACAGTATGGAAAGGAACACTACGAACTGCACAATCTGCCCATTTTCTCAATACATCAGCCTTCTAAAGCTAGACAAGGAAGGAAAAATAGCCAAAAATACCCAGCTTTGTTACGTGTCTTTTTAATATTTGTAAAAGACTCGAAGGTAGCAGCATTTATGGAGCACAACATCTGCCTGCTGCAAACAACCTCCTGCATCCTGCCAACAGCAGGCTCTAACAAGTGCATGCCACCTTGGTGGCAGCTGTTTAGGCGGAGCAGTTGGTCTCCTTAGGATAACCACAAAAACACAACGTTGGTAGAAATGAGATGAGCAACAGCTGTGGAGCCAGTTCCTGTCCTCCTCATCTGAAATCTCAGCAATAAGGTCACATTTACGGACTTCTGCAGGAAGTTATTGCTGACTTGTAAGAAAAAAAACACCACACCAATACACAATTTGTAGGCTGCTCTGTCTCAATCTGAAGCGCAGCCAGTGAGATTTAGTTCAAAGTCATCACACGTTACTGTGATTGATACTGGCCTCCCCATTAAGAACATCCATAACTGTCTAATCTAGAAACCACTCAGTACAACAGCCAATTTTGTTTAAAAATAATCACACATTTCTTAAAACTGTAGATTTTTTCCAGTACATCCCCTTCAAAATTTACCTTAAGGCTGAAGACAAACATGACATTTTAAGTACAAAATTAACATCACAACAACAGGAACTTGTAAGGAGTAATAAATGTAGTGAGCTTTTCATTATCTGTGGCAGCTCAGTAGCTGGAGCAAACGTGCTGCTAAAGGTGCTGAAGAGCAAACTGCACCTGACAGCTTGGTGCTGAACCACCCTTAATCCCTGCAAAAGTAATTAGTGCCTTCACAAGCAAAAATCTCCAGTATTCCAGGTGAGCTGAGCCTAAGTATTTTGCTGAGCTGGTGAAACCTGCTGGAACTTGGTGCTCCAGCTCCACAGCCAGGCTGGTCTTACTCAGCCTGCTTGCTCCCTGTGCTCTCTCTGGTGCTGCTCAGCAACAAGTCTGGGAACACAGGCTCTAACCTGGTGGCTCACAAGGTATGAAGGTGGCTAAGCAATTCCTGTTCCTATGCAGGAAGCAGGACGGCTGTTCTGGAAAGCTCAACCAGGACTAAGCTGATATTCCAGTATCCAGATACGTCAGTATCTGTGGTAAGCTCACTCCTCAGTTTGGATAAATCAGTTTGGGACAACTAAGAGTCAACAATAATTTGCTTTAATTCACACGTATTTTTTATGTTCTGTTGGCTTCAATTCAACTTTTCTTTGAGCTTATCTACTCTCCAGGAAACTTCACATTTAAGACAGTTCCGTATCCTCTAGCTAAAAAAAAACCACAAACAAACCTGGAGTTTCTCTTCGGTTTCATACATTCTTAGAAGATCCTGATTTCTGTGTCTGTACTCCCAGTAATCCCATCCCTACAGGTACCTCTGATTTTCCAAGCTATGTAACTTTGTTCGTCGTCATTTAGTTTCCCTTGAAGCTTCCGTTTTGAGCCTCACCTCCACACTCTCATCTCTTGCTTGACATTTGTACAGCACAACATTATCGTTCCTACATTTTTAACACTCTTGTTGTTACACAGATCAACACGTACCTGATTAAACGGGGGACGAGGCCCATCGCCCAACAGAGGCGTTTTCTGCTGCTGGAAAGGCAGAGGGCCCTGGGAAGGATGCGGCCCCCTCGAAGGGTTTGGTTGTCCTTGAGGTCCTTGCATGTTTCCTTGTGGCCCTACCAAAGAGCCTTGCGGAGGTCCCTGCTGGCCTTGCGGCCCGCGCATTTCTTGCGGCGGTCCTAACATTGCGCCTTGAGGCGGGGGTCCCTGCAGCCCCCTCATCTCCTGGGGCCCATGTCCTAGCAAACCACTTTGCATATGAGGACCTCTCATCTCTTGCGGATGACCCATCATCATCCCTTGTGGAGTAGGTCCCTGGTTATCTCGGGGCCCTGGCGGACCCTGCATCCCTCTTGGATTAAGTCCCATCAAAGGCCCTTGGGAGATAGGACCTTGCATCCCTTGAGATCCCGGAGCTCCTTGCATGCCGTGAGGAAGAGGTCCTTGCATCCCTCGGGGACCAGGTGGCCCTTGCATTCCTTGACCCTGAGGTCCCAAGTTACCCTGCGGGCCAGGCGGACCTTGTGGCCCCAAATGAGTCTGAGAGCCAGGCAGGCCCTGCGGTCCTAAGTGCCCTTGTGGACCAGCGTTACCCTGCGGGCCTGGAGGCCCCATTGGCCCGTGAGGGCCGGGATGCCTTTGCATTCCTTGATGTCCATGTAAATCCTGAGGCCGTGGCATTCCTTGAGGTCCGTGGGGGCCCGGAGGTCCTTGTGGTCCCATGAAGCCTTGCGGACCTCCACCTCCTTGGTGTAATGGAGGACCCTGAGGTCCCATCTGTCCTTGGGGTCCCGGAGGTCTGAACTGTCCTTGTGGACCAGGAGGTCCCATCTGAGGCATATTCATTGGCATCTGCTGTGGCGGAAGGGGCTGCTGAAACCCTTGAGGCATCTGTGACATTGGGCCTTGCCCTGGAAAAGGCTGGGGTCCGTGAAGAGAGCCTCCTGGAGGTGGCTGCGCTTGCTCAGCTTGTTTTTGTGCAAGTCTCTCAATCTTCAGTTGCTGTAATAGATAGATAAATAAATAAATAAATAGATAGATAGACAGATAGATAAACAAATAAATAGATAAATAAGAGAAACCCAGCAAATCAACTAAACTCAGAAAAATATGAAAAAACTGAACATCAGAAGCTACTGTCTCCTTCTTAGGAGTTTGAAAAGAGTTAGCACTTTTCTCTTAATCAACAGAAACACAACTACACAAGTGGGTCTGACCAACTGAAATGTGGAGACCTTGGTGCAGCTGCCTTCATGCATCGAGTCTTATTCTTATTAAACTACATTTTTTGAGAAAAGGTGAAAAGTGTACTGCAAAAGCAAGCTACACATTTTGGCGCCAAGCTCCAGCAACTGGCTTTACACACATACCTCCAGGAGTTGTGGGTTTGTGTACTGAAGTGCTGCCATTTCCTGCTCAATCTCTGCCTGTGTCTTCTTTTTCTCCTCTAGCTTAATGTCTTCCTTTCTGTCGATTAATGGCTCAGGTGGGGGAGGCAAAGGAACTTTATTCTGCATCCACGCCTATAAAGAATAGTAAATATAAAATTAATTCTAAGAAACACCACATGTGTAATAAATCACTGACTGGGACAAGATATGCTGGAATGATGAATAACGAGGGAGGGGATTGTCCCACTCTGCTCTGTGTGGTCTCACCTTGAATACTGTGTACAGGTTTGGGCACCACAGTACAGAAGAGGCATAGAACTATTAGAAAGTGTCCAAAGGAGGGCTACAAAGATGGTGAATGGTCTGGAGGAGAAGATGTTATGAGAAGTGGTTGCTGTCCCTTGGCTTGCTGGAGTACAAAAAGCATCTGGAGATTGCTCTCAGATGTATGCTCTGATTTTTGGCTGGTCTTCTGCTGAGCCAGGAGTTGGTCCCTTCCAACTCAGGATATTCTGTAATTCTAACTCGGATAATCAGAAGCTAAAAACTAGGTTGAACAGAACATCCAGGTGTTGTAGCATCCTAGTTTCAAGGTATGTGTATGGGATATAAGGGATTTAACCAAGTATCTAATGCATAAATGGTAATTTAACTACTGTGGTAAGTTATTTTGCACTGATGTTGGATGTTTTTTGGAAATCCAACAGAACAAGTTTATTTTTGGTGTTCAAAACTGCAAAGCTGTTTATCAGCTGCTTACCTGCTGAAACTGTGCTGGTATTGGTTTTGCATAGGGCACTTTTTTCTGTGGCACTTTCTTTTGGTCCTTTTGCATTACTTCCTCCATTCCCCAGTCTAGTCCTGGGATTGTCATTTCAATGTCATTGGACTCATCTTTCCCTTTAAAAGCAGGGAAGGCAAACAGTTAGTGCAGTACAGGTTTACAAAGTAATTCTGTAACTCTCCTTACAGTTTATTTAACAAAATAAACCTTGATGTTTCCCAACTCTTTCTTCTTTTCATGGGAAATATGCACTCAAGAACCTCAGAAAACAGTGGTGCTACCCAATTATATGACAGGAATGAACAATAAGTTGTACAGTATCTGGATGGCTCAGAAAAATGCCTCCCTACAGCAACTACTCACCCATCTGC